GGGAAGGCCGCCTCCCAGCTGTTTGCCCATCGTCCAATTACGGTGGAGGGTGGCAGGGAGGCCGGGGCGGGAAGTTTGAACTCTGCAACTTTGAATCTACTATAAATATGACTGTATTGGTGTATTCTCCTCATGCTCTGCTGGCGAATGATTAAAGCTCTGCATCCTTTTCAGCTGAATCGCTAATAAACCTCGATGGCTTTTCTTCAACTTGGTGAGACCTTTCATTGGGAAGATCAGGGAAAAATATTGGGTGCTTCTTTGTCTCACCAGGGAAAAATAACTCTTTGATGAGTCTAATTGGTCTCTGCCTCCTGGCAAAGACCTCTAAATTCCAGCTCTAGATCACAGAGGTCTGCATGCTCCCCTGCCTCAAAGTAAACAAAGATGTTCTGTTAATGGTGATGGTGGAAGTGTCAGGACCATGGGCCAAGAGGAAGATGATGAGGAGGAGGGGGTTGGCCTCCCAGCAGCCGAGTCTGAGCCCATGAGAGAGAAACAGCCCGACATAATAATATACTTTATTTATATTCTGCCTATCTCCCCGAGGGGACTCTGAGCAGATTAGAGTACACATATACGGCAAACATTCAATGCCATTATACAATTAACAGAGACAGACAGTACATAAACAGAGGTAAAGGCTTCCCATATTTTTCCATCTTCGGCAGCTGAAGGCTGTGCTTGACTCCAGCCATGGGGGGGGGGGGTGCTGTCACTCCATCTTCCATGCTGAGATGCTTTGTGGTCTTTAGACATTCTCCCAATCAAATACATGAGTGCCTTTTATTACCTCCCCGCCAAAGTGGTCCTTATTTATCTACTCACATTATTGTTTTCAAACTGCTAGGTGAGTAGAAGCTGGACTGACAGTTGGGAGCTCCTCCCAACCCGGGCTTGAACACCAAAACGCATCCTCTTTCCCTAAGAACAATGCCAAGGACAATGCTGAGAGCTGTTCAGCAGTGGAACTCTCTGCCCCGGAGTGTGGTGGAGGCTCCTTCTTTGGAAGCTTTTAAACAGAGGCTGGATGGCCATCTGTCAGGGGTGATTTGAACGCAATATTCCTGCTTCTTGGCAGGGGGTTAGACTGGATGGCCCATGAGGTCTCTTCCAACTCTTTGATTCTATGATTCTATGATTTTATGGACTGAAGATTGGGAGCTCCTCCCAACCCGGGCTTGAACACCAAAACGCATCCTCTTTCCCTAAGAACAATGCCAAGGATCAGATCTGTTTTCCTTACAGCAGAAACTGAACCCATGCAAATGTATCATGACTCCAAAATCACACTCCTTTCTCTTCCTGTAAGAAAAGGAGCAATGACCAGACTGCATTCCATTGCAGATCTGCCACTTCCAAATACATCATATGTCTTCTTCCCATGGAGCAGAGTAGTGGGTGAGCCAGACTCCTCTGGTCTGACACAATTATGGAATTGTAATAAGGTTGCTTATATAACAATATTTCTTGCTGATGTTGTTCCAAAGTTGTAAATGAATGACAGATGTTTCTTCAGCCTGAAACATTCTGGCTTTATCTCAGTTCTTGGCAGATGCTGATTCTCCTTAATCGGTGTTGGTAAATGTAAAGAACCTTGTGTTGACTTCCTTCTTAACGTAAGGAACCTTATAAACAATTCCTTAACTGAAAGAGCCATTGTCTCTGATAATGTAAACACCATGTTTTCCCACCAACAGCTAATAAAGTCATCAATGCCAACTGTTCTCATCAGCAACTTTTAATTACAGTCTACAGATTCTTCACCTCCTTCTTGTAGTTTTCCAGGCCTCATCTTAGGATGAAATCTCTAGACTATATAGACGCCAACCATACATCTTATGTACAATTCCATTCAAATCATACATGATATTTCATGACATATTCGAATAATCAGACCACTAAAATAAAAAATGCTACAGTGAAGAGCCAACTGTAAATGAAGGACAACAGTTTGGAACAAAACTTAGGCCAGATTCACTCCCCTAACATGGAAACTACTAGCAGCTACTGGATGCCGTCCTCATTGGAAAGGAGAAGAGGAGACAGTTTGGGCAGCTGCTGAAGCTCAAACATGTGGAGCTGGCCTGCTTGCTTGTCACCACTCTCCTATAGATAAAATACTTGGATCTCTCTGCAGTCATTCAATGCATTCCACTTTGAAGAGCTCAGAGACACATTTAGTGCAGATCTGAAGAGCACTTCTCTATAAACAGCATTTCCCAAAGTCCTTTCCTCTCCTTTCCCTCCAGACCTAAATGTATTCTATCATATTGAATAAACCACTCCAAACAAGTCCGGCTACAAAAATTTGGCTGCTTGAACAACAGAACTAGTATTTGCTGTGACTGCATGGGCCTTTTCGGTCTCCAAAAGTCAGATAGTAACATCAGCAATCAAGATGACACCTTCAAACTTTTCAGGCAAAACAGGGGAATCCGTGCCCAACCTGAGCCAAAGCCAAGCCAACTATCTTTCAAACTGAATGCATCTATCCGTCCTCCTCAAGGATCATCTGTAATGCTGCTGGTTCCTCCGGGATTGAGTTACATTATTTTGTCTGTTCCTTCTTGCAAGAAAGGTGAGGTTGGGTTGCTACGAGTTTTTCTGTCTGTATCGCCATGTTCCAGTAGCAATCTCTCCTGACATTTTGCCTGAATGTGTGGCTAGTGGTTAGGGGTTCTGTTGCTAGTGAAGCCAGTGGGGTGTATATACGAGGGTTATCCAGAAAGTAAAGTTACAAGATTTTTTAAAAAATACAAAGAATGAATATATTTTAACAAAACTTACATGGATTGTAGCACAGGTATTACATTATTTTTTCACATAATCACCATTCAGTTCAATACATTTTGTCATTCATGGGATGAATTTTTAATGCTAACCAAATGAAGTCAACAACTCTTATGTTGCATGAGCGGTGTGCAGATGAGCATTGTCATGAAGGAGGCAGACTCCCACCATCAGCATCCCATGATGTTTGTTTTGGATGGCTCTGTGCAGTTTCTTCATGGTCTCACAATATATTCTGTATCAACTTTGCCACATGCTGTCTTGACATTACGTCCTCTCCAGAAACTGAAACGATTTTGCAATGAATTGCAGCTGTGTTCATGTCCTTATCATTTAGGTAGCATATCACAGCACGTACTCCACACTTGGAGGGAAGCAGAATGAGGACGCTCATCTCTAACCTTTACCACAGCGCCAGTCGATGAGCTACTAATGACTGGCATTGCTCATTCGCTTCCGCTGGCTTCTCGCTACATGGTAGTGATATTAACTCCCCCCACAAAAATTCCCCATGAGACTTACATGCCTTGTAACCTTACTTTCCGGATAACGCTCATATATCTGAAATGTCCAGGGTGGGAGAAAGAACCCTTGTCTGTTTGAAGCAAGTGTGAATGCCACTGAAACCCACAAGCATGTGGACCATTTTAACAGAAAAGAGGAAACCATGAAAATGAACAAAATCTGGTTACCAGTATTCAAAAACTCCAGAATCAAGACAGTAAATAAAGAACAACACTCAGGAACAGGGGAATTCCAGATTCTAGTCAACACCTCCCAAACAGAATATGCCTTCAGGCACAAGCTACCTCTATGTAGATACCCTCACTGATTGACTCTGCAGCTGCAAGGCTACTCAATGCTAATCAAACTTGCAAGTGAACATTCACACTTGCTCCAAACAGACAAAGGTTCTTTCTCCCATCCTGGACATTTCACATATGTGTACACCACACTTGCCTCACTAGCAACAAAACCTCAAAGATGCCATTAGCCACAGATGCAGGCAAAACGTCAGGAGAGAATGCTACTGGATCATGGCCATACAGCCCAAATAACACACAGTAACCCAGTAATTCCGGCCATGAAAGCCGTCAACAATTCAAGGTCAGGTTGCTGCCAGAATGTGCCTCTCCCTCTGTGAGCTTCCTTTCCGAAAGCCTGGCTAGCCATTGCAGCTCATCGGATGTTGCGATGCCACACGCCTGAGGCCAAAGAGGCAACTCTTTCTGCCAGTCACTGGAAACCCAGCATGGGCAGGTGGGATGTGGCATGGCCCATGAATGGAAAGAGGGCAGCTTGAAGGAGGAGCACAAGTGCCAACCCTACCATTAAGCATATGAGGGAACCGTCTCAGGTATCCGGTACTGGGAGCGGGGAATAGAAGCCTGTCCTTTTCCAACAGCACTCTTTTCCCTTCCTTATTTACACCATCTCAAGATTTGGACCATCTCAAGGTGACTTTTTAGTCTAGATGAAGAGGACAGTCCTTGGCACGGAAGAGGCTCCCTTCTCTGGTCTGGTTTTCCTTTGGCAGAGTTAGTCAATTACCTTTGGCAACTATTTTCATGTGAGAATGTAACGGTTATTTCTGCTGTTGTATTCTTGTTGTCAGGAGAGGACAGAAGTGGTTGTGACATTTCTCAGATTGGAATCTGGAATCCTGATAAGAATGTATACATGGTTTGGGGGGAGGGAATCAAAATAAAAACGTTACAGAATTATAAGCTTCTTAAGGGTATATACCAGGCATGGGCCAACTCCCTCCAGATGTTTTGGACTTCAGCTCCCACAATGAGGACTTTATCTTGCAACTTGTTGTGGGATTATGCAAATGTGCAATTATGCAATTGCGCAATTACGCCATGTTTAAACATTCCTTATTGCAAGCATGAGCCAACTTTGGCCCTCCCTCCAGATGTTTTGGACTTCAGATCCCACAATTCCTAACAGCTAGAGAGAGGGCTGAAGAGGAAGGAGAATGTCTGGGATTTGCCATTTTCGAAACATTTGCAGGTCCTACACTGTAATTATATAGTCAATGGCCAGCAGAGTATCTATCCAGAGAATGTTCTCTCCAAGAAAAAGAACTTGTGTTATGTTTATTGTAGCTTTCCCACTTCTATGGGATCCTGCTCCTTGAGCCATCATGAAAGTGGAGGGCCTCATATATATATAAATATTAAGGGAGTGATGGAGCCACTTACCAGGATGGAAGCCTACCACCAGGTCAGGGCGAGCCGCCTGCTGAGTCTCCACTTGCGATTCCCAGAAGTCGTGATACAGCCCTTTGTAGCTGCTGAGATAGACTCTTCCCCGGGGCCCAAAGGCTGCCAGCGGAGGCCTCATGATGGACCCGTCCACAACATCTGCACCCACCATCACTACCTCCACACCTTGGTGTGCTGGGAACAGGCGGGAGAGTTCATCATAATCCGTCACGCGAGCATTGAGGGTCTCGACATGGGAAGCCCCGAGCACATGCACCGTGATGGGCTTGGCATAAGGATCGAGACCAAATGCATGCAGCCCCAGACCAATGCTGGCCGGCCGAGATACAAAGTCCGTAGTCACTCTCTTGACCGACTCCACCAGCTCTGCGTCATCGGGCTTCGGCTTCCCCGCATTGGCCCACAGGATGTTCATGTGACGCCCGGCGAGGATTGTACGCAGCTTTTCCTCCAGGTCTCCCTGCATGAGGAACCAGTCTGGCCAGCCTTTCACGTCTTGCATGCGTTGTGTCCATGCGGCAGTGGGGAACGGGATGTCGCCTACAAGGAGAGGAGGAGGAGGAGAAAAGACTCTGTAGCGTTATGACATAGCAAAAACAACAACAGCAGCCTTTGTTGGCATCTATATCTATTCTACATAACCTATTCTACATAATAAACATTAAAGCATATATGTGTGTATGTGGCTGGGTTGCCCACTTCCACAAACAGCTATAACTTCCACCGCCCAATGGCCCTCCTTCCAATGACAATGCAGGTTAGAGTGAGTGCTCTGAACATGTATAAGAGCCCTACCACTGTCCTCCACAAACACCATACTGCCCACCACCCACGTGAATGCTTTCATTTGGGGGTTTGTAGTACATTCAACCGCTTCAGCTCTGACTTTCATAGACCACCACCAATGATGGACCTGGACTAAACTTGGCACACAGAACCCCTCCCCCCATGACCAACAGAACATACTGGAGGGGTTTGGGGGAGACTGACCCACCCAGGTGGAAGTTGTAGTTCACCCTGCATTCAGAGAGCTTCTGGATCCCACCAACGATGAATCTGGACCAAACTTGGCATGCAGACTCAACATAGCCCACTTTGAAAACAAGCGGGGGTTATGGGATGATTGACCTTGTATACTGGGAGTTATAGTTCACCCTATTAGGAGAACACAGAACCCAACAGATGACGGATCTGGATCAAACTTAGCAGACAGACCCAACATGGCCAACTTTGAAAAAAAGGTGGGGTTATGGGGTGATTGATCTTGCATTCTAGGAGTTATAGTTCACCCATATTCAGAAAACACTGAACCCAGCCAGTGACGGATCTGGACCAAACTTGGCACACAGACCAAACATGGCCAACTTTGAATACTGTCGGGGTTTGGGGTGATTGACCTACTATTTTTTGTAGTTCGCCCACATCCTTATGCATTTTCTAATGGGAGCAAAGCAAAAGCAAAGACTCGCTTTTTCTAATAAATACCATTAGAAATTATCTAACTGATATACCTTACATCCAAAAACAAACAATGCCTTTTTCAAATAACCCAGGTATTGCCGGATACCCAAGCTGGTACACTAATAAAAAACCATGGCACAGATGTGCAAAACAAGAGAAAATCACAGATAATAAAATAAAAACAATAAAAAATTATGAATCTCAAGAATAAAACCTGCAACTGTCTTGCAAAAGAATGCATCAGAGTTGTTCAGGGGAGATGGGAATTTTATATCCCTCTTTCCATAGAAGATAAGAGGTAGGCTTTGGGGAGGTTGGGTGGGATTGCGGGGGGGGGGGGGGGGGGGGGGGGGGGGGGGGCTGTGAGTTTTAAAAGGCATTTTAAGCGGATTTATTGTATTTTAATTGTTTTTACTACACTGTTACTATGTTTTCTCAAAGGCTTTCATGACGGAATCACTGGGTTGCTGTGAATTTTCCGGGGCATATGGCCATGTTCCAGAAGCATTCTCTCCTGACATTTTACCTGCAACTATGGCAGGCATCCTCAGAGGTTGTGAGATCTTTTGGAAACTAGGAAAATTGGGTTTATATATCTGTGGAATGTACAGGGTGGGAGAAAGAACTCTAGTCTGCTTGAGGTAGGTGTGAATGTTGCAATTGGCCACCTTGATTAGCATTTAATGGCCTAGTAACACTGTTACTATTGAATTGTTTTTTTAAAAAACTTTTGCATTGCAATTTTTAAACTTGTCTAGTGTGAGATTGTTAGCCACCTTGAGTCCTCACCCATGAGGAGAAAGGCAAGGTAAAAATAATATTAATAATAATAATAATAGAGAAAACTGTGAAAAAAATGAATTCTTGTATTTCATCTGCATCTTGGGGCATTTAAACAAAGAGTGGTTGGTATTTTGATAGAAACCAAGCCACAAGAACAAAGCCCTTTAGAAGGTTCCGTATTTTTATAGGATGAGAGGACGTGTCACTGTGACGAATGGGTACAGTCAGTCCTAGCTGAGCACAGCAAGTCAATGCAGCCGGTTGGGCACGTTGGTTCCGCATAGATCAATGCCTATACTTTCTCATAAATGATGCACGTTTTTATTCACATCATGACAACCATACTTGAAGGCACTGAATGCAAAAGCATAAACATGGCAATGAACCGCAGGCATCCAAGAAACGCCAGGTGCTCAAGCACATTGCAGACTGTCAACCAGAGGGGAAAATGCACTGGAAATTGTTTCGATAGAGAACACAAAAGCGGCAGTCAGTCCACAATGTGAATAAAGTTCTCCAAAATGTGAAGGCAAACAAGCACTTTGGGATGCAACTTCAGGTTGTCCTCGGCACTTCAAGGCTAGAACTGCTACAAAGAGCTCTTGTGCAGATTATTTCTTTTCCAACAGCCTGCGATGATATTCTGCCAAGTAATGATGAAAAATTTAGTCCTATATGAGAGCTCAGATACAAAGCTTGGTAGGAGGCAGCTGATCACTGGACAAACCATCATCCTGGTTGGATTGGCACACTCATTTCCAACATTTCAAAGGTGAAAACATGGATATCTGTGGCCAAATCATGGTCAAGGTGGATAGGAGAGATCGCTGAGGCCGTTTGCTTTTACTTGAATCTACTGGGAAAAGCAAGACTCAACTCGCTTCTCTTCCTGTGCTGAGTCCAATTCAATGCACATTTGCACTGATTTATTTATCCTGTCAGGAGCAACCAGACAGTTGTATTACATTTTTAACAAAACAAACAAACAAACAGACAGACAAAACACAAAGTTTGCAAGCTTGGCAGTTGATTAAATGTCCTTTGACCAGTATCTGGCCACTTGGAGTGCCTCTGGTGTTGCCGCAAGAAGGTCCTCCATTGTGCATGTGGCAGGGCTCAGGTTGCATTACAGTAGGTGGTCTGTGGTTTGCTCTTCTCCACACTCGCATGTCGTGGATTCCCCTTTGTAGCCCCATTTCTTAAGGTTGGCTCTGCATCTCGTGGTGCCAGAGCGCAGTCTGTTCAGCGCCTTCCAAGTCGCCCAGTCTTTTGTGTGCCCAGGGGGGAGTCTCTCATTTGACACAGACATAGAGATACAGAGATAGAGACATAGACATAGAGATACAGACATAGGGATAGACATAGAGGCATAGAGTCAGATATAGCGACATAGAGATAGACATAGATCTGGAAACAGAGATAGTCATAGACATAGGCAAAGAGACAGATACAGAAATAGAGACAGACATAAACACAGACATAGAGACATTGCTATAGACAGATATAGAGATATAGGCATAGAAACATAGACTTAGAGACAGACATAGAGAGAGACATAGAGATAGATATAGATATAGAAATAGAGATAATCATAAACATGCAGATACTAGATATAGAGATAGAGACATAAAGATAGAGCTAGTCATAGGCATAAAGATAGTGATACATACAGTCAGCCCTCCACATTCACTGGATTCAGGGGTACAGAACCCCTGAAAAAAAAGTAAAAAAAACCCACGATATTGCAATTCTTATCTTACCTAAGAGGTTTTCAATGGTTGTAACTGTTTCTTTTTAATAGTTTTGATGTTTAATCCTATTTTAAAGTCTGTATTTTTAAAAAGTTTTAAATAACGTATTGTATTGCTTTTAGTGTTCGCTGTATTGGATCCCTTTTTAGAGAAGTGAAGTGAGATAGAAATAAATACATTATCCATCATCATCATCATCATAACCTCACAACCTCTGAGGATGCCTGCTATAGATGCAGGCAAAATGTCAGGAGAGAATGCTTCTAGAACATGGCCATACAGCCCGAAAAATCTACAACAACCCAGTGATTCCAACCATGAAAGCCTTCGACAATACATCATCATCTTATTTCTGGGAATTTCTACCTCTTCCAGTTAAACTCAGAATCGCTCTGGAGGATCTAGAATTTCCCAAAGAGGGGTTTTGTTCTCTCTAGGAATGGCTAAGTCCTTCAGCAGGGCTTGAGAAAATGGACTATAGAGCAGGCCTCGGCCAACTTGGGCCCTCCAGGTGTTTTGGGCTTCAACTCCCACAATTCCTAGCAGCTGGCAGGTTGTTAGGAATTGTGGGAGTTGAAGTCCAAAACACCTGGAGGGCCCAAGATGGCCCAAGCCTGCTATAGAGTCACATGGGTAGAATGAAAGATTCCCACAGAGAACATGTTTAATCGAATCAATGCATAATCACACCCACCAGAGTCAAAACCACAAGTGCAGAGGGATGACTGTACTGCCTTTCCCATTCTGAGACTGACCTGTAAATACGAGCCATTCCATCAGCCGGTCCAGGGCTGCCAGTTTCAGCTTCTTGCAGACTTTCTTATGAACTGGCCAGTTGGCCCGCTGGCACTCGGAGCTGCAGTAGTAGACGTTCTGGCACCTGGAAGCAGAAGGGAAAAAGACTCAGAGACCCCAATAGAAATTGGCTTCCAACTCAGCAAAGAAAGGCAGTTTCATCACTGAGCGCCCTATAGGACATGTCCATCAAGTTGCAAAGAGAGGCAGGTAATAAATAAATTATCATTATTATTAATACTTTAGTTTCCAAATTTGCAAAGTAAGGTGGCTTTCATTACTGAGCACCCCATCAGAAGTTGCAATAATAATAATAATAATAATAATAATAATAATAATAATAATAAATTAGTTTCCAAATCTGCAAAGAAAGACAACTTTCATTGCTGAGCACTCCATCCAGCATGTCCATCAAGTGGCAAGGATAAGTAAAAACGACAATAATAATAATCGTTATCATTATTATCATTATCATTATTACATCACCTACCAGTCCTGATGGTAGGAATCGTTTTTCAAACCCAAGAAGTTCTTCAGCCTCCTCTCCAAAAGGGTGCTGGTGCCTCACCAAACTACAATTCTCATTAATTCTACAATATCCACGGACTCTGAGCCTTGGAGGATAAAGTGCTGTTGAACTGTATTAATTCTACCATCTACCATATTATTGTTATGACTAGTAATAATATCTCATCTCATCTCATCTCATCTTTAATTACTTATTAATCGCCCTCCATCAGAGATGCTCCAGGTGATTTACACTGCAGAAATTACACAGGATAAAACACATACATACAAATATTAAAATTAACATGAGTCAAATGCTCCAGTAAAAAGCCAGGTCTTAAGTGCCAAGATAATAATAATATAAATTAATACACCCTGAATAATAACTCCAGTTAAATAATGACAGGAACAGCTTTTACCTTTTGCACCGTCGCAGGCTTTTGGGATCAGGAAGAGATTCGGGAAGTTTCTTGCACTCAGCGCAGAACTTGAATGTGTCTTCCATTTTCTGGAACATTTCAAAATAAGATCGGATGCCAAAATTTGCACTCATTCTCTGGCTCTCCATAGCAGTTCTGTTAGGAGGCAGAAGACAAAAGTATAGCAATTTTTCTAAAGGGAGTTTTCAGGGTTTGCATTTCTGCCACCATCTATGAGCAGAACGTGCACTTCAGGGCGCATCTACACTGTAGATTTAGTGCAAGGTATATAGATAGGCAGGCAGAGAAGGAGATAGATAGAAGATAGATAATAAAATCATATTAAATCTTTATGGGCAGCTCACAAAAGCACTCAATAGTGCAACATACAAAATACAATAAGAGCATAGACAATAGCACAATAGCAATAACAAATAATATAAACACCATAAAACCCTATTAGTTAAAAATTCAATAAAATGTAACAATGGCAGCAAATATAAAACCCTTCACCGCCTCCTCCTCCTTTGCCTTGTTCTCTGGCCCAACTAACCTGTAGTCCCCATAGCTCTTCATGTTGAGCTTTTGGAGGATGACATGTGACAAGCCGGGGACGTTTTTCTCCATGGCCACAAAGCCCAGTGAGTCCATATGGGGGCCCGTGACCACTGGGGTTTCCAGCATGGACTTGCGTGTTTTGGAAGGCGCTTTCTTACTTCTCTGCGCCATCTTCAACAGAGGTTGGAGTATCTGCAATCCAAAGTAAATGAGGATATTGCTTTTCCAGCTTTGTTGCTTCCAAAGGCAAAATAGCAACAGGAAAGATGGATAAACTCATTTCTGAATTAAAATGCTCACCATTCCCCCACCAACTATTGGCTAGCAAATTCTAAGAGTTGTAACCTTTAAAAAAGTATTTTTCTGAGAACTAAACAGCAATCTGTGCCTTATTCCATGAAACATATGCTAAAGAAATACAAGTTGAGTGCCCTTTATCTGAAATGCTTTGGACGAGAAGTATTTTGAATGTCAATATTTGAGGAGAGTGGGATTTTGGAATATTTGCATAAACATTTAAAAAGGAAAACACACATCCAAATGAAAAAAATGGATGTTTCATATGCACCTAACCTGAAGGTAAGTGTATACAATATTTTAATACTTTTGTGCACAAAACCAGGGCCACATCTACTATTAAATCCTGCTCAGTCAGAGATCCCTTGGGGAGATAGAGCGGGGTATAAATAAAGTTTCATTCATCCATTTATTTCATTCATTCATTGCCATATAGAGCTGCTTCAAAAAGGCATCATATAGACAGTGTGGGCAGATGTAACGCAGTTCAATGCAGTTAAACTGCATTTTATGAGCCTACACTTACCCTATAATGCCATTTGAAACTTCTCTGTATGGCATTATATCAGAAAAGCAAAGGAGTCACTATCCCAGCCACACAGAAGGACAATTATGGAATATTTTGGGTTTGGGAAATCTGATTTAAAGGATGCTCGATCTGTATCTGAAAAGGTCCAGTGAAACATAGGAAACATTTCCAACTGCACAAGGAGTAAAGTTGCCTGCGACATGGTGTCCTTCTCATAACATATAAATATCTCACTCCTCACCGAAGATATATATTTCAGAAAGGTGAGAGATCAGCTGTTAGGCTACTAGTATGACAAGGAATAAGCCAATCAATCCCTGAGTCACATCCCGTGTCTCTTTCCAGGGCGACTCATAGGTTTCAGGTCATCTAGAAGGCAAGCATTTCTTTTTTAAAAAAATTGGAGTAAAATAAGTCAATACATATATAATACAGCAGACACACAATATCCAAAGCGCTTAGTCTTTCCCCCCCCTCATCCATTCATCTCATTATATCTACTGTAAATTTCACTCTTCTATATATATTTCATTCACCTCCTTGTCCTGCTCCCCCTTTTTTTCTGTTTCAGGAGTGACTTGAGAAACTGCAAGTCGCTTTTGGTGTGAGAGAATTGGCCGTCTGCAAGAACATTGCCCAGAGGATGCCTGGATGTTTTGATGTTTTACCATCCTTGTGGGAGGTTTCTCTCAAGGATGGTAAAACATCAAAACATCCAGGCATCCCCAAGGTAACGTCCTTGCAGACAGCCAATTCTCTCACACCAGAAGCGACTTGCAGCTTCTCAAGTCACTCCTGATACGAAAAAGAAACCATGCCCCCTGAGCCACTCCTTTTTATATTCTCTGTCCAAAATTTCATTTCCTCTTGTGGAGGTAATTTTCCACCCTTCTTTTTCAATCCTCTTTCAATAATTTTCCCCCAAACTTCATTAAAATCATTTTTTCCATATTCCCCTTTTAACTTGCACACCAACTTATTGTTTATTGCCTATTTCCATAATTCCTTAGACCACTCTTCAATTTTTATATTTATTTCCCTTCTCCATTTCCTTGCTACTGTTAATAGGTTAGATATTGCATCTTTTTCTTCATAGAATCACAGGATTTTAGAGTTGGGAGAGACCACGTGGACCATCCAGTCCAACCTCATTCTGCCAAGAAGAAGGAAAATTGCATTCAAAGCACCCCCTGACAAGTAGCCAACCTGCTTCTGTTTAAAAGCCTCCAAAGGAGGAGCCTCCACCACACTCTGGGGCAGAGAGTTCCACTGCTGAACAGCTCTCACAGTCAGGAAGTTCTTCTAAATGTTCAGGTGGAATCTCCTTCCCTGTAGTTTGAAGCCATTGCTCCGCATCCTAGTCTCCAGGGCAGCAGAAAACAAGCTTGCTTCCTCCTCCCCATGACTTCCCCTCACATATTTATACATGGCCCTCAGCGTGTTTACTCTCAGCCTTCTCTTCTGCAGGCTAAACATGCCCAGCTCTTTAAGCCGCTCCTCATAGGCCTTGTTCTGCAGACCCTTGGTCATTTTAGTCGCTCTCCTCTGGACACATTCCAGCCTGTCAACATCTCCCTTAAATTGTTGTGCCCAGAATTGGACACAATATTCCAGGTGTGGTCTGACCAAGGCAGAATAGAGGGGTAGCATGACTTCCCTGGATCTAGGCACTAGTTCATGAGTTCAGGTTTGATACAATCTAGGACCTGTTCGTGGAAGTTTCTACCATTCCATAGAGTATATGCAACATTCTCATCTTAACCTTCCTGTCAAATGACACCTCTTTACACTTCAGAAGATGACTGGGTTCATTGTGAATTGCAACCCCACATCTTCCTTTTATATTGCTTCGCGCACTAGTATGTTTACGAAGCCGACAAGCTTATTGGAGAAAGCATTCTCCTTGAGCTAAGGGCCTGCCTCTTCTCATTTCGCCCCTTCCCTTGCACCTGCTGCCGTAAATTACCCCATAATATGATACCATCAACCCTCCAACAAGCCATGTCTTAATGGCCAACGGCCAGGAAAGCTAGGTTCTAGTCACAACTGATATCCATTTGATAGGGTGTCTTTCAGCCGGTGGTTTATCAGCCTGCTTTACAAGGGCTCTCTGTTGACAGCAGGAGGTCTGGCATGACCCAAGGCAGTTGACCATCAGAGGCAGGAAAAAAATAGAAGAAAACACAAATCCTGATGCCGAAGGTGGCCTTACTGGTGCTAGCATTTCAGTTTCGTAACATTTCCTACTGTGCTGCAAAAGCACAAGAAGAGTCAAAAGCGGGTAAGACACCACCTTTCTGATGGCCAAGGCTAGGACCTCTGAGGCCCCTTCTACACTGCCTTATGAAATCTGCTTTGAACTCGATTCTATGGCAGTGAAGACCAGGCATGCATGGGCCAATGTCAGCCCTCCCTTCAGGTGTTTTGGACTTCAGTTTCCACAACGAGGACTTTATCTTACAACTTGTTGCGCTTTTATGCAATTACACAATTACGCTGTGTTTGACCATTCCTTATAGCAGGCCTGGGACAACCTCAGCCCTCCCTTCAAGTGTTTTGGACTTCCAGCTCCCACAACGGGGACTTTATCTTATAATGCATTGCACACTTGCGCAATTGTACAATCACGCTGTGTTTGGCCATTCCTTATAGCAGGCCTGGGCCAACGCCAGCCCTCCCTCCAGGTGTTTTGGACTTCAACTCCCACAATGAGGATTTTATCATGCAATACGTTGCACATTTACACTCAGATACGGAAAGATCCAATGATTCCAATGAAAGAGAACTGGCTGGTGAAATGGAGAAATGGACATAATTAATCAAGGGGAGATCCCTGGCTGGGACATGTTTAGGACTTTTGGAAGCAAAATGGTGGTATTATCGCTTTTGGCAAATATATAAATCTGGTTAGTATGTCTGTACAGAGCAGAGTCATAATATTTCTCCTTCACACTGAAATATTTCATTTCCGTTAATGTGGAAAAACATTGGTTTTCTGTGAGCAAAGTGGCTGTGAGAGGGACTCTGTCTATCCAATGGAAATGCAATCACCTGCAAGCGATGCCACATCCAATTGTGAAACCTTTTGTGTATTTTTAGAGGTCCTAAGATGATTAGAGATGGAAATGAATCAGGAACGGGGAAGGGACAGGCTCTGGCCTATCTCAAGGCGGCAGCTTCTCAAGCTTTGCACTCTTTTGCTTGGGATTGGAGGCTCATGCAATAAAAATCCCGCTGCAGGCTACTGTGGAAAGGTTGCTGGAAAGCACTTCCTGCCAAGATTTTTGTACCTCAAAAGGTAGAAAAATGCCATTCCGAATCAAACTAAGGTCTTTTGTAATGGGACTGCACAAGAATTGCTGTTTTAGTAGTGTTTCCTGTTCCAAGAAGGACCTTTCCGAACAGAAAATGTCAACACTTGCCAACACCAATTCGTCCCAATAAAGGTGGGGTTTTTTTACATGTCGGCAACTGGACTAAACCAAATCCAATTCATTCTAGGGGCACATTGGAGTTTCCTGCGAGTTCCAGTGTCATGTTTTGAGTTTTTAGAGATGCATTAAAGTCTAAAAGAAGTGGGAATTATGTATCATACATCTCGACTAGGCATGGGCAAATTTGGGCCCTCCAGATGTTTTGCACTTCAACTCCCACAATTCCTAATAGCCTCAGGCTCTTTCCTCCCCCCCCCCTCCCTCCAGCTGCTTGAGCAGAAAGGAAAGGAAAGAAAGAAAAGCGCCAGAAGGTGTTTGGAACTGTGGGAGTTGAAAGTCCAACACACCTGGAGGGCCCAAGTGTGTCCATGCCTGATCTAGACCGACCAGGTTCAAGTAAGAGTTTTTCACTTTCTGCATATAAGCCTGAGCTAGGAATACTAGAAAGTGGTTTGTCATGGCCGTCCTGACATATAGTCTTCCACACTGCCATATAATCCAGATTATCAAATCAAAGAATACAGAAAATCAGCTTTGAACTGGATTATATGAGTCTACACTGGCAGATCATCCAGTTCAAAGCCAACAATCTGGATTTTATATGGCAGTGCAGAATAGGCCAGAATCACCTGGTATTCCCTGGCAAAGTCCCTTTGAAATACTGATTTGGTTTGAATCTGGATTCAATTCCCCTTCTGGACTGCAGATCCCAGATTCCCCCCATTCTACCAATGCTTACCCCCAAAGGCAACTCTTCCGAAATCTATCTCTGGACATAAAAGGGTGGATCAAAAATAATACCTCAATCGCTCTAACTTTTCTTTCACAGCTCCTGGACTATCTATGCATGATATGATAGAGGTAACCATACCCTTTTGAAATAGTCTTCTTTTTCCATTTGACTGATTAGAACTATGAATCTGAAGCTAAAAGTAAGAGACGTCATTGGAATTCTGGCCAAAGAAGGTTGTGCACCTAAGGAAATCCATCATCGCTTGAAGTCTGTTTATGATTTCGCCCCTTCTGACTCTGACCTGTTTGGATATCTTCCCTTCCGCTCCCTCATCCATATTGTGCTTTATATTTTTAATGTACCAAACATACCAAGTTTGTATGAAAATGTGACTCTATTTCCTGTGCCGGTCAATGACCGAAATAAATTATTCTGATTTGGTTTGATTTGACAGACAACCTATGTGGTTTCAGATTCAATTACTTGAATGATGTTAAAACAGCTTTAAAATAATGGGTCATGAAGCAAAACCCTGAATGTTTCCAAAATGGGTTTGGATGCCTGGGTTAAACGATGGCACAAATGTGTCCAAATTGATAGTGACTATGTTGAATAGTAGTTTTGTGTAGAGGGAAGTTCAGGCTATGATCTGGAGCAACTTCTGCTGTTATAAGGTTTATTCACAACATTTTTATGACACAGAAGGCAAATCTTTTTGACCCACCCTCATACATTATATTATTATTATTATTATTATTATTATTATTATTGCTATATTTATTTATGCCCTACATTTCCTGCTGTGGGGACTCAAACCTCCTTATAAGAGGAAGACAAATATAGAAGGAGAGCTGGATGTGGCTGGAGGCACGGTTTGGATGGATAAGGGAGATGGCTGAAACCCAAATGTCAGGAACCAAGACAGTTAAAAGCAAGCTCTGAATGAGAGAGCAAGACTATTCCTGGCCTCTATGCCTCCCATTGGAGCCAAGCGATCGGATGGGACACCTCTGGAGAATGCCTGGGGAAAGAAACAGACTCAAAGGACACTGCGTTCGATGTGCCTGAGCTCCACCTGCTGCAACCGGCATAAACTGCGAACAACAAGGGAAAGTGGGAGAAGCAGAGAGAAACCGGGACAATTTAAACACAGTTGGAAAAAATGGGATGGCAAAGGATAATGGGATATGGAAGTGTGTGAAAGGGGGGGGGGGTTCCTGCTGCCAAGTTGCAAAACCTTACCGTGCGATTGGTGTTCTCCTTTCTATCTCTGCAATGTACTTGCTTCTTTCCCTGAGTTTCAGTATCAGTGCATGTTGGATTTATAGGACCCTTCCACACAGCTGTATAAAATACACTGAACTGGATTATAGGGCAGTGTGGACTCTGATAACCAAGTTCAAAGCAGATATTGTGGATTATTGTGGACTGTTTTGGACAACAATTTTAATCTGGCGATTTTAATCTGGCAAACTAGTTTTAATTTATATTTTAAATCTATTTTCATGAATATGGATGTATTTATTATGTGTCTTATATCATGCTTGACATGTTTGGAAGCTGTTCTGAGTCCCTCCTCGGAGGTCGAGAAGGATGGGGTATAAATGCCTGGAATAAATAAATAAATAAATAAATAAATTATATGCCTTGGTATTCTGGGTTATATGTCTGTGTGGAAGGACCCATTTGTCTCCCCTAAGGACGCTGGAAAGGTCACACCACAATGCCCTTCATCTCCACCATTTCTGCCACTACTGTCCTTACTTGCCCGTCACACGCCTAGGAGAAATCATACAGCACCGTCGTGCTGTTCTTGGCCTCCAGAAATCAAAATGAAACTGTCACCTATCTGTAACTGGTAATTCAAATGAGATGGCAACCAAAGGAAATGAGATCTACCATTATCACTCTAACAAGGCTGGGAAAGCAAACACTTTTGGAACGCTACTAAAGTTTCTACCAAAATGTTTGGGCACTCACCTGCTGCTGCTCAATGCCTTTGCTTGCCTCTGTTGGACTGGATCCTCTGCAAAAAGACAATGCCTGCCTCTTCACTTGGGTTGCTCTCAGCTTCTAGCTGCAGAAATGCAAAGGAGGGCTCTGTCTGTCACCCCTGTAAGGCTATCTATCCTGGGAGTCCCAGGACTTGGCTAAGGAAGGAAGGAAGGAAGCCTGCTAAGGAGACTCCCCCCAAATGCCTAAATGTTTCCAAGCAGAATGGCATGGGCCATCATCTGCCCCCTGCAGGGAGACAGGAGACACTGCACCAGCCTCGCACCTGGAGAAAGAAAATACTATAAATCATATATATGTTGTCGAAGTCTTTCATAGCCCGAATCACTGGGTTGCTGTGAGTTTTCTGGGTTGTATGGCTATGTTCCAGAAGCATTCTCTCCTGACGTTTCACTCACATCTATGATAGGCATCCCCAAAAGTTGTGAGGTCTGTTGGAAACTAGGCAAGTGGGGTTTATATATCTGTGGAATGATGTTCAGGATGGGAGAAAGAACTCTTGTCTGTTGGAGGCAAGTGTGAATGTTGCCATTGGTTAGCATTGGATAGCTTTGTAAATAAAGAGTAACACTCAGAAAACAGAGGAATTCCATACAGGAAACAATCAGGGCCACCTAACACCTCCCTACAAAGGATTCCCCCAGGCAGGGAGCAGCCAGGCTTTGAAGCTGCAAGACTTTGAAAACAGCTCAGAAATTACAACAAGTACAAAGATCAGCAGCCAGGTTACTGACTGGGGCTTGCTATAGGGCGGTGGTTCTCAACCTGTGGGTTCCCAGATGTTTTGGCCTTTAACTCTGAAAAATCCTAACAGCTGGTAAACTGGCTGGAATTTCTGGGAGTTGTAGGCAACGCACCTGGGGACCCAAAGGTTGAGAACCACTACTATAGGGAGTTGAAATACTGTTGAACTGATATATAAATGGAATTACCATATATATTTGTGTATAAATTGACCTCATGTACAAATAGAATTACTGTATCTATTTGTTTGTATATTGATTCCATGTATTAATGGAATTCATAGAATCAGAATCAAAGAGTTGGAAGAGACCTCATGGGCCATCCAGTCCAACCTCCTGCCAAGAAGCAGGAATATTGCATTCAAATCACCCCTGACAGATGGCCATCCAGCCTCTGTTTAAAAGCTTCCAAAGAAGGAGCCTCCACCACACTCCGGGGCAGAGAGTTCCACTGCTGAACAACTCTCACAGTCAGGAAGTTCTTCCTCATGTTCAGATGGAATCTCCTTTCTTGTAGTTTGAAGCCATTGTTCCGCGTCCTAGTCTCCAGGGAAGCAGAAAACAAGCTTGCTCCCTCCTCCCCGTGCTTCCTCTCACATATTTATACATGGCTATCATATCTCCTCTCAGCCTTCTCTTCTTCAGGCTAAACATGCCCAGCTCCTTAAGCCGCTCCTCATAGGGCTTGTTCTCCAGACCCTTGATCATTTTAGTCGCCCTCCTCTGGACACATTCCACCTTGTCAATATCTCTCTTGAATTGTGGTGCCCAGAATTGGACACAACATTCCAGGTGTGGTCTAACCAAAGCGGAATAGAGGGGTAGCATTACTTCCCTGGATCTAGACACTATGCTCCTATTGATGCAGGCCAAAATCCCATTGGCTTTTTTTGCGGCCACATCACATTGTTGGCTCATGTTTAACTTGTTGTCCACGAGGACTCCAAGATCTTTTTCACACGTAACGCTCTCGAGGTAGGCATCGTCCCCCATTCTGTATCTTTGCATTTCGTTTTTCCTGCCAAAGTGGAATTACCGTTGAATTTATATATAAATGGAATTACTGTATATACATGTCTATAAGTTGACCCCATGTAGAACTGCAATTACTGTATATACATGTAATATGTATATATTACATGTATATACATGTTGTTTTATCAGTTATTCCATTGACTGAGATGTTTTATGTTAATCCCTGTATGTTATTTTATGTCACTCAGTGTTAAGCAGAAATGTGTCCAGAGAAGGATGGCTAAAATGATCAAGGGTCTGGAGAACAAGCCCTATGAGGAGCGGCTTAAAGAGCTGGGCATGTTTAGCCTGAAGAAGGGAAGGCTGAGAGGAGACATGATAGCCATGTATAAATATGTGAGAGGAAGCCACAGGGAGGAGGGAGCAAGCTTGTTTTCTGCTTCCCTGGAGACTAGGACACAGATGAATGGTTTCAAACTATAAGAAAGGAGATTCCAGCTGAACATGAGAAAGAACTTCCTGACTGTGAGAGCCGTTCAGCAGTAGAACTCTCTGCCCTGGAGCATGGTGGAGGCTCCTTCTTTGGAAGCTTTTAAACAGAGGCTGGATGGCCATCTGTTAGGGGTGATTTGAATGCAATATTCCTGCTTCTTGGCAGGGGGTTGGACTGGATGGCCCATGAGGTTTCTTCCAACTCTTTGATTCTATGTTTATTCATTTATTATTTAAAACATTTATTTATTTATTTATTTATTTTGCTTATATACCGCTGTTCTCAGCCCAGGGGCGACTCACAGCGGTGTACAACATAGAAAGAACAAGGTTCAAAATACAAGACACAATATAAAATAATCCACAATCCATCATTAACAAAAAACATCATCATAAAAAAAAAACCCCGTCCTTCTCAACCTCCAAAGAGGGACTCAGGACTATATATTGATATATTGATTCTGGCTAATAGATAGATAGACTCTAGCTAATTTTTGTATATTCTATGGGTTTGCTTTACACTGCTGCTGTCTTGTAAGCCGCCCCAAGTCCCCTTGGGGAGATGGGCTGGGATATAAAGTTGTTATTATTATTATTATTACAAATAAGGGGGCGTCTGCACTGCAGAGTGTATGCAATTTGGTACCCCTTTAACTGCCATGGCAACATGCTATGGGACCCTGATGGGTTTGTAGTGTGCTGAGGCGTCAGCAGAAACGCATTCACACGAGCAGCCTAACACGCGTCATTCGGCTCTCTGCTTGCGAGGAGGAAGTTGACTCGAGAATTCTTTTGGTGCCTAAAACAAAAATGGCGCCCCGGGGCTGCTTCTCTCGCGAGACTTCCGGCGAGAGGAGGCTCCAGCAGTCTCCATAGCAACGGAAGACGCAGAGAGAGAGGCTGACAGGTAGGGAGGAAGCTTGCTCTTCCAGGCTCCATCAACCCAGATCAGGTTCTGAATGGCTTTTGAAACAGGTTTTGGAATACTACTCTAGCAGAATACTCCTGGCCTATTGCATACATCAGGAGAAACCTTGGGGATTGGCGTTTGTTATTTGAAGAAACAAACAAACAAACACAAAACAGGACCTGGAAAGAAACAGAGGCCTTTGCCTCTGTCTGTGTACTGTCTGTCTTGGTTGTTAAATTTATAACAGCATTGAATTTTTGCCAGATATGTATTCTGTGATCCACTCTGAGTCTCCTTGAGGAGATAAAATAGAATATAAATAAAGATTATGATGATGATGATTATTATTAAAGGATTGCAAAGCATGGATACAATGGGTTGTAGTGAGTTTTTGAGGCTTCCCGACCCTGTTCCAGAAGCATTCTCTCCTGGTGTTTCACCTGCATCTATGGCAAATGGCATCTTCAGAGGAACTAATGTGAGTCAAGCAAGTGCAGTGTATATATATCCCTGTGGAATGATGTCCAGGGTGGAAAACAGAACCCTTGTCTGTTTGAAATAACTGTGAATGTTGCAGCTGGCAAGCTTGCACAACATTGAGTAGTCATGAAGTTTGCAAAGTCAACCAGTGAGGGTATCTGCATAGCCCAGGCATGGGAAAACTTCGGCTCTCCCTCCAGGTGTTTTGGACTTCTACAATTCCTAACAGTCTCAGGCCTCTTTCTTTTCCTGCTCAGCCTAGCACTTGATGAACCAATAATAATAAACAATAATAAACTTTATTTGTATCCCGCCCCCATCTCCTCAAAGGGAACTCGGGGAAGCTAACATGAGGCCAAGCCTGAAAATACAATACAGCAAAATAAAATACAAAGAAACAAAAAGACATCACAATAAAATACATAAAATAACAAAATAAAATAAAGAGTGCAAAATAACATAATGGAAAGTCAAACACAATGGGCGGGCCAAATGCACAAGACAAAATGATAAAACCCTGGATGAGATAGGAGTAGAAAAAGTGCATTTGTGAGGGAGGAGCCCAAAAAAGGATGATCAGTGGGGTTAGGGCTTCATTAAGGACGGGGGAAAGTGCATTATGAGGACAACACTGTAGATGGAACCAACAGAAATGGGACGTATGGTCACTCTCCAAAGGCACCAAGCTGGACACAGAATATTATTTGAAAACACAGAAATGCTAGACCACTCTGACAACCATCACGTCCAACTACACAGAGAAGCCAATGAAAAACGGCAAGAAGCAAGTGGACAATTTCAACAGATATGAGGATACAATGGAAATGAACAAGATCTGGTTGCCAGTATTAAAATAAACACCAGAATCAAGACAGGAAATAATTAACAACACTCAGAAACAGGAGAACTCTAGACAGCAAGCAATCAAGTGCCAGTTAACACCTCTCAAACAAAGGATGCCTCTATGCACAACAGCCAGGCTACCTCTCTGCAGATAACCTCACTGATTGACTTTGCAGCTGCAGAGTTACTCAATTCTATTCCAGCTTGCTTATTGTAACATTATTTGCACTTGATTCTAGCAGACAATGGTTCTTTCTCTCACCCTGGACATTAATCCACTTGCCTCACTGCCAACAGAACTTTTGAAGATACCTTTAGTTACAGATGCAGGCAGAACATCAGGAGAGAATGCTAATGGAGCCTGGCCAGACAGCCCAAAAATTCACAGCAACTCAGACACATAATACATGTCTCTTCTCCTTTCCCCCCTCTATTGGATGCAGAGCTGTCTTGCTTCAGCAGCTGAATCCCAGCCTTGCCATGGCTGCATCAGCCTCTTTTCACCACACAGACGTCCCTGGAAATGTTGCCAAACCTGTGAGCATAACAGTGCTGGAGGGACGGGACCTGGTAAGCAGTCATTCTAAAAAAACTAGAATTCAAGGTTGTGGTTGCTGTGAATCTTCACATCATTTCCAACTTAGTCCTCACTTGCACTGCCAAGTAATC